GGGAATACGTGGAAGAAAGTGGAAAACCCAGCGTGTAAATATATGAATACGACGTGAAAATGAATGGGTACCGGCCTTGGGTACTGAAAAGTATGGTAAAATTCAGTATGCTGATTCTTTCGTATTTCATATCCAGTACTACCCCCTCATTAATCTGAGGTTTTTGCACGATGATATTCTTGCTCTTTTCGTGGCTTGACGCAGATCTCGGAAGTTATTCGATACAATGGACACCTTGTGTATTGTATATTTAATTTGACGAGCCTTGGAAGTACTGTGCTGTGTTGTGTGAGAAATTCTCAAATTCGTGTGATGAATATTCCTGCGTTCCCTGTTTAAAGCCTAAATCGTTATCGTATTGGTAAATGTCACAAGATATTCAGGAGATTTTTGAAATTTCGAATGTGCGGTGTTTATTCAAAATTTTATGAGCTGATTAAATATTGATACTGCTCAAATCCTTCGAATTGTTTTTGTAACAGCGTTAATGAGCGACCTCTAGCGCACGTTCCGCGAAGTTGATACAGTCGAACCTCTTCAAGTCGAATTTCGAGGGAACAGCAGCAAAAAAATTTGAGTTCGGAGGTTTTGAATCAGGGAAAGCATTTATTGTTGGAACTAAAAAAATTGCAGAAAATTGTAAATGGTGGTCCTGAAATTAATTCTCAAGTGAGTTGTAAGGATGCTGAACTTGGAGCCATGGGTTCATTTGCCCGATTAGTCTTCCACTTCCCTTCAAAATATATCCATTTACTTGTTTATTACTTTTCTCTTTCCTCTGTTGAGAAAAAAATGCCAAAAGGCCTTGAAAAAATCGAGTCGTGGAGGTATTTAAACGGAAAAGCATCCGATTTGGGGAAGTTTTTAATTTATTGTTTCAGGCGGGACTTGAAAAAAATTCGAATTAGGGAGGTTTGAGTTATCGAGGTTCAACTATAATAACTCTTTACACTCTTACCAGAATCATACCCACATTTCTTCTGGTTGAAAATTTCCTAGCTCCACAAAGGTCACTTTTGTCTAATTTTTTTATGAATGAATGAACAGAACACTTTATTTGCCGCTTTTTAGCGTTCACAAGGTTCAATCAAGATTACCACAACCAAACCCCCTTCCCACTCAACCCAAATTCACTCAATGACATTNAAGGATTTTGTGTGATCGAGCTGGTATCTCAATCATTATGTGTATAGAAATCAGAAGATTCGAGCCTGAAAAGATAAATTGAGTGCCACGAAAATTGCATCCGATTTTTTTTGGTTTTTAGGCCAAGAAAGGTAAAGTAATGATTTATTTTTTCGAGGCACGAAAAAAATGGAGGTTTTGTCTTATAATCGATGACGTCTTGTGTATCGAGAGAATATGGTGCATATCTCTTCGAGTCCATGTCGCTAACGTTCCTCCGCTTTCTTCTTGCCTCCCCTTGACGACACGTGGTGCTCTGTAGATGACTCAGATGACGCAAATGGCGCCCAGGATTACGGTGAATCACCTCGAGTCGCATTATCATCCTTCTGCGCCTGTCATGACCTTCCTGGAAAGAGAAAACGAGGTTCGTGTCATGTGCTCACCTTATGAATGCATTTCGGTTTTCCCTTTTCTTCCATTCCCTTTCTTTCGTGCATTTGTGTGACCTTTAGCGCGTCGCTTTTTAAGAGTGAGAAAATACTGTAAATTTATGATATTCTGGTCAGAAATTCTCATTTTCACGCGTGGGAATCGATCGTGGCCGCGGATTTTTCTTCGGTGAAATTTTTTTTTTCTCGAAGACTGAGGCATATGAGAGTCATGCATATGCAATGAGGATGTTTTTTTTTTTTTCATGAGAAAGCTGCTATAGATCTATGGGGTGTCTTATGCGGGTTCAGTGTCCGGTCCTCGATGTTCTTATTTCTTCGAAAGAAAATATGAAAGCGTCTTGCGATTAGTCTGAAATTTTCATGAAATGACCGCTTTTTCCAATGCCTGCGTTTTGCGGCTTCGCGAAAATTATAAATGAAGTTTCGGAAATAGTTTCTGAGGGAAAGCAGAGTTTTTTTCTGAAGTATTCACTCAAAAAAGATTTGGTTTTCCGAAGTAAGTTCCTGGAGAAATTCTGCATAACTTTATCCTCACCGAAGCGGAGTTCTTTTTGAAGGATTTATTCAAAGAAGATTTTGGTTATTCTAAGTAGATTCCTGGAGACATCTTACATAACTTCATCCTCACTTACGTAGCATAACTTCCACCTCATTCACCTCATACTTGACCTATATTTGACATGACCTGACTTCACCTTTACATAAGCGAAGTTTACTATTCCCCCGACCGACGTAATCTAACTTTGCTCTCTACTCACCTTAGCTCAAGTTACTGTAGTTAAACTTTATGGAACTTTAACCCATGTCCGAAATAAACTAATTATAGTATACCTAATTAACTCGACCAATGTCGATACATTTATTACGATTTAATTGGATTTGATTTTACTTCAACCTGAATATCTAAACCAAACATTTATCCTCGACGAACCTTATTTTGCACTCGATTTGCATAAACTATATAACGCTTTACCAACCTAATTCAGAGGCTTAATCCATGACCTAAGCAAAGCCAATCGTGACTCACATAACGTCATTGATGCCCTTCAGTATTGAGTTGGCAGAATGGCGGATGAATGCAAGAATCTCTCTCGCTGTCCAAGTGCATATAGGGCCTGGTTTTTCTTGAAAGAACATGATTTTGAAAAGGAATCTTTTCCCATCTTTTTTTTTTTTTAGCAAGAGTATTCAACCCAGTCGCTGAGCCATGACTCTGGCCACGGAAGTTCGGAACAAGAAGAGTCGCCGAGGTTCCATTTGACGGGCGGAAGTCTGAGGGCCGGAAGTGCGCGGAATCTCTGCCACGGGATCCGGTCCGGCACTTTGTCTCACCCCCGTGCGGCTTCCTACGACACGACGGAACAGCACATGTGTGCCAATAGCCCTCGTTGGTTTGGCACTGCCCAAAGAATGCGGGCTGCCAACCGACAACAACAGCAGCAGCAACAGCAGCAGCAGCATTACCACGTTGCCCCGCAGCACTTGCTGCATCACCATGTCATGCATCATCACCATCACCCTGTGAGTTTTGAAAACTTTTTTAAAATTCACTGAGCTTGAATATGCATGAAAAAAAATTGTGCTTCAAGTTACTGTCAAGTTTACGTCCGATTCCTGCGTTACCGTCAAAATTTCCTTTGCGATTACCACGCAAAAATTTAAATTCACTTCGCGATTATCACGCGAAAATTATAATTTATTTTGCGATCATCCGACGAAAATCGTAGTTTACTTCGAGATCGTACAATATCTACGTGAATCTCTCAAAAATCGTTCGTTCGTTCCTATCCACCCTTTTCCGTCGCCACGAATGAAATAAGTATTTCTTTGTTGAATTTTTTATCCCCAGAATGGACTACAGATTCCTGAAAGATTAAACTTTATTTTAATGCGGCATGAGGAACACAACTTATGATTCGCTCTTCGAACGGAAATAATTCTTTTTGGTTAAGATTAACTCCAGATCAGTGGCTAATTTTTTGAAGGATGAGGACCGTTAAAGGAAAGAAGTCACTGAATTTTTAGAAAAGATCCTCATAAGGCAAAGTAAGGCCTTGGGTGGGGGAAAAGCAATTCGTGTGATTCCTGTTCACGGAATTCAAATCGGTTTCTGAATAATCAGTAAGATAGGCTTCATCAAGTGGAAAAAGCAAATTTCTTCGGTTTGAAGTAGACTGTTGGTTATTGGGTTTCGAATGCCGAGTTAAGATTCGGATAAAATGGAGAATTCGGTCAATTCAGGTTAGATCGGATTGATTTTTCTCACATTACCGATTCAAATGACACCAGCATGTCCAAAATTTCTGAAAGCGCGTTCGGGTGTTGAGCTGGAAAGAAACGAAAGTATCAATTTTACGATATATTTTTGTGGTTATTGAGTTCATAATCATAACTTGGTCTTTCGAAATTCACGCTGTCTCACCAGTTCTTGGCGCCAGACTGATGATTGGCGTGCTGAAACGGGTCAAGGATGGCCGAGGGGGGTTCATTTAAGAAATCTGGAGATGAAATTGGGAATCTTGAGCCTATTTTTTTCTTCTTGCCTATAGCCAGTGATTCATCGAGGCATAAATCTAGCCTTCTCAGCATTTATGTAGCGATTATATCTCTCTTCGCGATCTTCGCTCTGAAAGTAATTCCAGTTAATGGTATCGCAGCGTTAGAGCGAAAAAAATTTCTGATCTGACTTCCATGGAGTTCGAAACCACAAGCTCTTTTTTTTTTGCGGTACGGAATTCATCCTTGAAAACGTCTAGTTTTTAAAACTTCGATCAACACGCAGTTATTTCCTGCATAATTTCGACCAGTTCAATCTCGACCTGATCGGTTCAGATGGTGTCGCAACGCGGCAGGCAATTAACTGCGAAGGGGATTTGAAAAGGAGAATTATAAATTTCACTGTTGCATTCACGGAGACGGATCAAGGCTCAAATCGTTGCTAAAAAAAAGTCTGACTTGATCTCGCAATAATTCATTTTATTTCTATTTTTTATGTTCTTCAGGTTTATGGAGCAGCAAGAGCCACGAGCCCTTGGAACCATACTTACAGTGAGATTGACGGGAAAAGAGTGTTTGATGGACAAGACCCTGTTTATGCCGAGATTGACCACGAACACGAGCAACAGTTGATTTTGGGTGGACTGCACCCGCATCACCAGGCGCTGTTGATGCACCGGCAGCAACAGCAGCAAGCCGGCGTGGATTTTGGCAGGCAAATCCACGACCCGAACTTGATCGCTACCATTAGGTAAATTCCTCATTCCTGGATTCCTCTCCCTGTTTCTTCCTCAAGAAGTGCTATAAACGTACGCAGTACAGTGCCCTTGGTCCTCAGTGGGGCATCCCCGAAATGTTAATGTGCAGTGAGCGATTCGCGCTTACACGCAATGACATTTTCCGACGTTTTTCATAATGATGACTCGGGTCTTTTTTTGTGGGGGATAGCTGTAGTTTTCTGGGCCTTGAATTGCCTCTTAAATGCAGAATCCATCCCAAATTTCATCAGCTTCTGAAGTTTTCAATCTGCTCACACTCTTGAATCTTGTTGTAACACCGCGAATGAGCGACCTCTACCGTACCTTCCGCGAAGTTAATAGTCGAACATCTTCATGTTGAATTTCAAGAGACCAAAAAAAATTGAGTTAGGAGGTTTTGAATTATCGAAACAAGCATTTATTTTGTGGGAAAGATTACCGTAATTGTAAATTGTGATATTTCGGGCTTTGAATTGCTTCTTGAATCTTGAGTGAGTTAAGAGGATGCTGAACTTGGTGGCAAGGGTTCATTTGCACAATTAGTCTCTCATTTACTTTCAAAACACATCGAATTATTATTTTTTTATTGATTTTCTCTTTCTCATGTCAATAAAATAATAGGAGAGAGGCCCCCAAAATTTCGGATTTTTGAGTTGAAGATGTTTCTAGTGCACTGTTCCTAAGGGAATTCAAAGAAGGACTTCGAAAATATTCAACTTGGGGACGTATTCGAGTTATCGAGGTTCCAACTGACAAATTTTTTGAAATGCTATTTATTGAAGCGAGAGTTTACAGTGAATCGAATAATCCATATGCCGGGGTTTCTGTATTTTGGGGCCTCTTTGTATGCCCATCATTGCTGGAGGTAATTTTCATAAATTAGCTAAACGGACGGGAAAATGAAGACGGTGAGGCCGAAGAACTGTTCTCACGCAGGTCTTACAATTTTGTTGTTTTTTTTTGTCATTCCGCCTGATATCCTGAATTTTCCTGAAACCCGGCTATTTTAGCATCCAATGTCCGCATGTCGAGTCAGTGTCTGCATCTGGGAGTCTCACTATACACAGTATACGGATCTCGTGGATAATTAATCTCTTTTTTTTTTTTGTTTCCTCTCTCGGCAGGAATGCGATGAAGTCTCCTTCGCCGCACAAACGCACAGGAATGCGCCAAAGCCTCAAGTTATCTCCGGGAATAGTGCCATCAACCATGTCGGAGCACGCGAGCCGGAGCAACACGCCGAGCGCACTTAGCGACGCGGAGAAATTAGCGCTGGCTAATGACCACGCAATCACCTCGTCTCCCATGCATAGGATAAACGTGATCGACACTCTCGTTAGTCAAATTTGAGTGCCCATCAAGAGAGAGAGACGCGGAGGAAGCGAAGGAGAAAAGGCATCGCGTTTTTATGATCCTTTTGTCGGAAGTGAGTTATTTGCGCGATTCGTCGTGGGCTGTGATCGACACCGTTTTTTTGTTTGTTTGTTTGTCTGTCGATGAATTTTTTTTTTTGTGGCGAGGATAATAACTTTTTGAAAGTTTACCACAGGTCTCTGAACTGAGAAAACGAGAGATTTCTGTTGGATTAAAAAAAAAAGTATGAAAGATATGATGAACCGGAGCTTCGGCTGACTTTTGCTTCCGGAAAGGACGCGCGATTTTTTTTGTTTTTGGTTTCATGGAAATTTGAGTGTTTTCTCAGGTGCTGTGATACGTTTGGATTTGGCGAAATTTTTGGTATGCGTGATGATCATGATGATTTATTTCCGTGGTTGATATGTTCTCGTTTTTTTTTATTCGTCTCCCGTTTTCTTTTTTTTTTTCACGTCATGAACTGTGGGCAAAAGTGATTTCCATGGGCTCGACTAAACGGATCGAAAGTCGAGTTAATGTGCTTCTTGGATTTGCAGAAGCGAATGAAAAAAGGCCAACACGTGCCATTGCTTTCTGATGTTCGGTATGTCATGGTTTCTTGCCGATGAGGAAATAAAAACTGCTTGCATCAAAAAAATCCAGGCTTGCATTTTCGTTTTTGTTGGGAGGGTTTTTTCGGGGAAGTAAAACCCGCGTGAAACTTCGTGGCGATGCCTACGATTTCAAGGATAAAGATTGCTTTGAAATAATTTCATGAGATTGTTGGGTTTTTGGAAACATGAGCTGCTGAAATTATTAATGAAAGTCTTTTGCCATGCCCAATCTGAAAAGTATTCGTTACTAGATGTTTGAAATTTGTACTGCACTTCATTTGACTTGAGTATTACGTCATTCACGTGTCCTCCAGTAATAGTAAGGCATGCACTTTTTGGGAATTTGTCCGAAAGACTATCCCAACTTAAAACCGTAACCCCAGTTATTTTCGGTAGAAAATCGAAACCTTGTTACAAATGATGCGTAACAAAATACAGTACTCATGTAATAAAATAAAATGAAATGCAGAATTGCAACAGGCATGGACCCAAGCATAATTTAATTTCCACTACTGTACAGTATTTCAAGTTCAAGGACTCGCTTAAAAATTTGTACAGTACCAGTAGTCTAATTTTTTTTTTATTTCCTTACAGCCATCTGCACCTGACTCCTTTGATTTTCAAGGAAAAATTTTGCACATAGCACCAGTGAAAACATTGTATAAAAAATGTCTTTGATCCTCTGAAAGATTTTCCTCCAGGTTGAGCCTATTGTTTCTCCGCTCTCATGACCCAAGGATAAATCTGAGGAATCTTCAGTGATGTCAGGCTACTGATGATTAATGGGCATTACTGCAAACGATTTTTTCCGCTTAATAGCTTTCAGATGCATTAGAAATTTGATAAAGAGCGATTGATGGATTGAAAAATAGAGGAATAAACGGGAAGTAAAATACAGTACGAGTTATTTTAATTAAATTGTTTGGTTACCAACTTAGATCTTCGTCTACATTCTATTGTATCTAGTCGCACGAATTTTACTTTTGCAATTGTGTTACCTTTTTTTTAAGGAAATTATTTATGCACAGAAACCTTCAAAGAGATCATTAAATCTCCCGAGTGCCATACATACTTCTATAGTTGAATACTGTGAAAGCTGAAAATGAATTAATCAGACTTGTTGCAAACATCTGGAATCTTCTAGGTTCGCTAATAATTTTATCAGGTCAAGGATGCTTTTTTCGTAATGGAATCAGAATCCAGTAACTCAAGATTTTGGAATCAATCCGGCATTCATCAATCTCTTTTATTTCTCGATTTTCGCTCATTGGACACTCGTTCCTTAGATGCAAACAATGCATTTTTCAGTCGAATCAAACAGAAAACGAACACTACGAAGAAGAAAACAAATAACAGAATTAAACCCATGAACACATGCACTGAGTACATTTCAAACCACGACAAATTCCTGGTGGGTGATCTGAGGCCGGTGTCGTACCCATTCCTCAAGACGTATTCTGTCCAGAAAACGCCTCTTTCCAGAGGTGTCATCGGTTGGTCTCGGAATAGTCTCGACCGTCGTTTGACACTTCCCAAAATTCTGCAAACAATTTGGACAGATCATCTCCGTTATTTCATGGAAGATTACCGACACGTCGCAACATTTTCGAGTATAGCAGTCACGAACTCGGAATAAGGCACCACTTTTTGAAAAAGAATAGCTGTGAAGATTTAGATGAAGAGTTACAATTTATAGTTATACGTATTGAGACGCATCTCTTTAAATTCATTTAGGACTTGTTTGGTGGGAAAAGGGTCTTACATGCTGTAATATTTTCTTCTGATACAAATAACTGAAGACTTGTGATGACCCCTTATTGTAACACTCTTTGGTGAAATTGAAGAGACAATTTTGAATGCTCTTTTCTGATATTGAACCCGTATTGCTTCAAATTACCTTTTACCGTTCTGATCTTCAAAAATAAAGCAAAACGAAAGCATATGCATAAAGGTTAATTAATTCCAGAGTCTATTCAAGCACGCGTGAATGTTTCTTGAAAATTAGAAAGATTCTTTCTGACATTATTTTCACTTGAAGGAATAGAACCCTTGCCATGAATTTTAATGTCAAGCTAGAGAATTTCTAATAAAAATAAATTGGGAATCAGGGATGGATGTTGTGCAACGGGGAGAAAAATCCAGCAACCAACACGAACAACATTTAACACTGTTTAGGCTAGTGTCCTCTTTTCTTGCCTTCGGATCCTTAAGTCAGAAAATTAAAAAAATTAGAGGTTTCCTGAAATCTGAAGGTAATAAAAAACATTTCACAAGCAGAAAACTGGCTTTGGATGATTTTTTAGAAGAGAAAAAATATTTTGAAATGAAGAATTGCTCTTGGAAAAATTCAAAATGAACTTGGGTTTTCATTTTTTAAAACAAAATAACCTACAGAAAAATGTGTAATTCACTCAAGATGTAGGAAAGTTTGTGCTGAACAATTTTTTTTTGTCTGGCATAAAACATTTTTAACAGTTTGTGACATGGGATGAGATCCCTCGCCAAAACTGGGCCCTTGCCAAAGATACAGTTGCTCCCCGGTTTACAGACCGCCAGTCCGTAAACCGGACAGATTTTCAGAAATTGAGATGGTCCGTAAACCAAAAATCTATCTGCAAGGGGTCTGTAAACCGGGGGTCGACTGTATCTTCTTCATTGCTAAAAAAGGTCTTTTCAAAAACTTTTCCTTTTTGGTGACATTTTTATTCTGCACAAGTTAGATTTTCCCTATTTTTCTACCATGCACAGAATCAGGAAGAAATCTTTACATGAGATAGTAAAGGAGAAAATGAGTTTGGTAAAACTATAGCTCATTTTATAGTGTGATTCTTCCAAAAGAACGGCTGAGTCCCCGAAAATATGTGTCATGATGAGAATCATTGTACAGTACATTAACAGAACTTTACTGTATTCGGAATATTAAAAAAAGAACTGTCTTGTCCAGTTCTTACTTCAGTACAATGCAGAGTATGTTCTTAAATTTAAAATAGTGTGAGTCATTGGCAGCTAAGATGGGCATGCATTTTTCTAGCGAAGTTCTAGAAATTTAGAGAGCATCATGCAATACAGTATTAGAGACTTTAAAAAAATTCGCTCATTTAAAAGCGGATATATTTAAGAGACTTGACTAAATAAAAATTCCAATTCAGACCTAAAATTGAAACTGGATTTGTTTGCTATCCAATGTTTCCTGCTTGAAATTTTTATGCATCGTGTCGGGGATGAAAAATGTATTTATAGAGTACTGCACAAACTTTTTGAATTTAAATCTTGAGGGTGAAAAGTGGGTGCATTTTCCTACATGGGGATGAGTTTTTGCGAAAACATTTGAAGATGAAAATCGGACTGCGTCGGTTTTGCGGAAGTAAATACGGTCTTCACTCGAGAAAACTTTGCGGTATATAGCCAACATTTACCGACAAGAACCGCATCGTCTATGTAACTCCTTTTATTCCGGAAATGAAATGAATTAAGGCGCTCACAAGTTCGATCATTGGATCTTACGCACAGTGCAACGCATTAGGAACTCACTTTTCATCCTGTAAGATTCGTCTGACGGCGGAAACTATATCATCAACTGTTATCAATCCCCAGTGCAATACGACCCCTGCTGAGTCGACCCCCGTAACCTTGGCCATATTCGTGTGCTGATCAGCTGCAATGGGCAAGCCGATCACAGGAACCCCATGATAAGTAGCTTCTTGGGTACTCAGCATTCCACCATGGGTCATAAATCCTCTGATGTTCTTGTGACCTGTTGGATTCAGGGTAAGGAATGAGAGAGACTCAACTCAGGCTAACTTTGTTTTGTTAAAAATTTAGTAGATGAAAAAATTAATCTAAAAAACCATGTTTTCAAAAAGCAAAAAATAACTGGCCAGGACTGGCCAGGGCCTGGGAGGGGAGGTCATGTTTGGCCCGTTGACCGTGTGACCATCTGGCTTTAGCAAATAGCAATTAAAGTCATATGTTTGTGATTTGAACATTACACCAAAATTAATTCTTGAATGTGGTGCGCATGGAGATTGTTGGGAAGAAGTGAAATACAAATGAAATAGA